GGGGGGGGGGGGGGGGGGGGGGGTGACTAGGTGCCTTTTTTCATTAAGACTGTGATACACTATGTGATCCTGGTGTGACTGGGTGTATGTCAATGGGGTGTGTGACTAGGTGCCTTTTTTCATTAAGACTGTGATACACAATGTGGGTGTATTGTGGGTGTATGAACCTATGTGTACATTCTTCTGTTATTAAACAATACACATTAAATTTGCGATTCACTTGTCTCTATGATACACTGCAGTTTGTTACTAACACCTAGTCTGGGCCACATGTTTAATACGTTTTTCAATATATACCACACTAAGAATTTCGAGAACATTTGACATACCCTAGTCGGGTGAAGTGAGGTTTTTATTTGAATCAGATTGCACTGTGACAGAGATATGCTTGTGTACCTGCCTAATAACGTAGAAGGAAATACTTGTATTTTTACGTGAAATGACATGACGAATTAAATGTTACAAATATTGGATCGATATAGAAACAGTCTTATGACAATGTGTACTACAAACTCTTTTCTGCATTATTTCGTGTTTTTTTTTAAAATTTATTCTTTATTCAAAAGCTTTGTCTACGACACTACAATCGCTTGAGATCAATATTGCTTTTATATACCAATGAAAATAGAAGCGTTGGATATTTTATAGAAAACATCAAAAACATAGAAAGTACCCGCATTTCAGCTGACTAAAATCAACGTGGGAATTGTGACTATAAGGACATGTCACGTGCTATTACTGATGACATATTTCAGTAGGCGTTACAGCACATAATATAATGTAATTACTTTATTAAATATATCTGCACTTATATAGCCTGTGACATGTCCCTGCATTCGTGACACTTTGGCCGCATTTGTTTATCGCGGCCCAAAACGGTTGAACCGGTTGGACCAAAGTTGTTCGTTTATTAAATTAGTTAGGGCCTAGTTATATCTGATGCTTCTTTCAGGCGAGTCTTGACAAAACCTTACAAGATGGATTGACAAGATTAACAGTCAGATTCCAATTAACAGTTATGTACTATATTAATAGTATTCAAAAATACTACTCAATACGTTATTAGTAGTTTGTATATATCAATAGTATTCTAGAAAAAGTAGCATAAATCATCATTACAGGTCTGCTAGGATTTATATCCGAAAATGTTACATTTACAAACCGAAAAAAAACCCAGTTGGACCGGATACGCGAAAGGGGCACTTCTCTCAAACTTTTGTTGTCGTTTCAAGTGCGTTTTGAGCATTTCTGATCTAAATTTGTAAATGTGTAGACCCTAGCCGAGATACAGCACAATCCTCATTTACAAAAGGAACGAAAACGAATACCACTGGCGAGTCCAGCTTATACCACTTATTACAACTCCAAATGACTTCCAATAAAATAGGTCAACAATACGAAATATCATTACATCAGTGCCGACAAGTTTAACAGATTCCAATTGAAATTAATGTACTATAGTATCATCATTATTATTCAGAAATACTACTCAATATTTTATAAGTAGTTTGTATATATCAAAATATTCCAGAAAAATAATAATGTTAATCACCTTTGCGCCAAGACTCATTCAGCCCTGAAATTCCATAATGAACTATTCCAACCTTTGAATTGGAGGAGTTCAGATGTCTTGAGGGGTGAATGAGTTAAAGGATTAGGGATGGGACACAGACACTGCCCTGACGGCACCTGTGTAACTGAACTGTGTGTAGTATTGTCTGTGAACAGACCAGATCCAAAATTAGACCATTACCACTACCACTGCAAAAGCACGCGCTGACGCGACAAGAAACAGTTCAAACATTTTTCCTGAAACCAATAAACCACAGTATGGATTTCACTCGAGTGTGAAGTTCAGCATTAAGTCAGACAGCTGTAAAAGCTCCATCGACTGTGGGCGAGAATTACGGTTGCGTCCCAACCGAACACACACGAGAGGTGTAAATGGTCGTCGACAAAATACTACTAGTAGGTGTGATGTGTTGGTCGCTACTCTAGTGGAGGTGAGAAAAGCCCTTAGGATCTAATCTAAGGGGACTGTGTCGTCAAAAAAGTGGCAGTTTTATTGGCTTGTCAAGAGATATATCACAAGTCTCAGAATAATCTATTTATGAACTCGCTTCCTACGTCGTTTTTATACTTGAATATGGTGTTGTACTTTTTGCATATATGGTTTGTGTGTTTAATTTCTTTTTTAATTTAATGTTGGAATTGAAAAAAAATCATCTATTCTTGGTGGATAACAAGGCATGAAACACTTTTCTTAATAAAGACTTAATGATGTATGTGGTATTACTGTGATAGGGAGACTTAATGATGTATGTGGTATTTCTGTGACATGGAGATTTAAGGATGTGTGTGGTATTACTGTGATAGGGAGACTTAAGGATGTATGTGGTATTACTGTGACAGGGAGACTTAAGGATGTACGTGGTATTACTGTGACAAGGAGACTTTATGGTGTATGTGGTATTACTGTGACAGGGAGACTTAAGGATGTATGTGGTATTGCTGTGACAGGGAGACTTTATGGTGTATGTGTTATTACTGTGACAGGGAGACTGTAGTATGTGTGTGTTACATTGCAGTGATCATCCAGAGTTTGTCCAAATTAATTTACTATCTTTAATGCCTTGCTAATAATGTATGTACAGTATTTCAATATTTGGAGCCTTGACTAAGTCCTTAGGGGCGAGGTGGAACCCTGAATGCATTTGTGGTAGCCTATGTGTATCCATATTTTATACAGAAATAACATATGAATACACTGTATCATTGACTGTGTCTACCATTTCCATTTCCATGTTATGACCAAGTGACTAAATCCTAAGGAATCATCAGTCCCAGCCCAAGGTTGAGATATAAACCATTCCACGATTTGATCCAGACACTTAGTTCCCGTGCATGTAGCATGACCGTCATCTCATACAATTAATGATAACTTCATTTGCTATATCTTGGTGTAAGACTTTTGTGTAATAAATACCAATAAAACCGGTGCACTACTTCAGACAAGTAGTACAAGCAATGTATTTGAACAAAGGGACATAACTCCATAAATTATATTGCATGTTAGATCTGTAGTGGAACTGGACTGGGTCGATGGTTGGCGATCAGGTAGCTCAATTGGTAGAACGTCCGTCTTGAGTTCGGAGGGACCTGGGTTCGAACCCCGGTCTGGCCCTTGTTTTTTCTCTTTCTCCTGTTACAAAATTCGGGAAGCTTGCGTACCCTTGTTATATTTTGGTGTAATGCTTCTGTGTAATAAATACCAATCAAATCGGTGCATTACTTCAGGTAAGTAGTACAAGCAATTTATTTGAACAAAGGGACATAACTCCATAAATTCGGGAGCCAACTCCATTTGATATTCTCAAAATTCCATGCCCCTCCATAAAAGCATAATATGTACTAAATATCTTTGAAATTGTTGAAGTACATGTTCTTCAATTCATATTTTTATACAAATTCGTTTTGTCAACAGACAGATGGTCAGATAGATACATGGACAGACAGACAACCCAACTGCATTATAACGCCTCCCCCATATTATTCATTTGTTTGGTCTTGTGGTAGGGAAACACAATTGACAAGGGTCAAGTCTGGGTGAATCATGATTTATCGAGGCAAAAGAAAGAATCGCTCTTCTCTAATGCAAAATCAATAAAGTATTTTACTTTCTACTAATATAGAACAATAATAACATAGCATTGAAGATTAGAACTGTCGTCCGCAGATGGTGCTAGTTAATACATTATTGTATGACATTGACGTTCGGGTCAACTTACTGAAATGGGAACTCGTTCGAGAATATTTTGGCTCTTTACATAGTATCAATGAAGATAGGAGACAC